CGGGGGGAGCAGCCTGGGGAGGGCTGTGAGCGGAGCGTGGTGTGGCAGTCCACGGCAGGGAGCACGCAGGGAGGGTGCCTCTTCTGAAGGAGGGACACCACCCAGAGGGACCTTAGCAGGCTTGGGAGGTGGGCCCGTGTGGACCTCCTGGAGTTCAACAAGGCCAAGTGCAAGGTCCTGTACAGGGGTCAGGGCAATCCCAAGGACAAATGTGGGCTGGGTGATGAGTGCATTGAGAGAAGCCCTGCAGAGAAGGGCTTGAGGGTACTGGTGGATGAAAAGCTGGGCATGACCCAGCAATGTGAGCTCACAGCCTAGAAGCCAGTCCCATCTTGGGCTGTGCCAAAAGAAGTGTGTCCAGCAGGTCCAGGAACACGATTCTGCCCCTCTGCTCTGGTGAGACCTCACCTGCAGTACTGCGTGCAGCTCTGGGGCCCCCGTGGCCAGAGGGCTGGAGCACCAATCCTGTGAGGACAGGCTGAGAGAGCTGGGGGGCTTTGGCCTGGAGGAGGCCCTGGGGAGACAGGGAAGATAGGGAGGGACTGAACTCTTTGTCCAGGACTGTGGTGATAGGGCGAGGGGTATCGATTTTAAATTGAAAGAGGGTAGATTTAGATGAGGTGTAAAGAAATTCATCACTATGAGGGTCAGAGGCACTGGAACAAGTTCCCCAGGGAAGCTGTGGATGCTCCATTACGGGATGTGTTCAAGGCCAGGTTGGATGGGGGGTGTCCCTGCCCATGGCAGAGGGGTTGGAACTAGATAATCTTTAAGTATCCTTCCAACCCAGACCATTCTGTGATTCTATGCTTAATGAAATTGAAAGCACATATGATGCCACTAGAGAAAAATATCAACTTTTTCTCTGATGTGAGATTTTTTTACTACTACCTTTTTGGTTGGGGAGGATGTGGATTTGGTTTGATGCTTTTTATGATGTACAAAGTAGTTCATTGGCAAGTGGATTTGAGTACAGTGTGTACTACTTGTAAATGAAGCTTGAAAACTGAAATGCTTGCATGATTTTTGTCTTTCATTATTGACCTGTGAAGCATACTTTGAGATTAATATTAAACATTTTTTTTTTGTTTGTTTCTTCCTGTCTGGACATGTTGAAGTTGCAATACATTTGCTGTAATGCTGTCAAGTGTTGAGTGCTTGCTTCATTTAAAAACATTTCTGGAAAAAAACTGGAATTGTGGGGGATAGCTGGGAGACAATGGCCTTAACTTTGTTGGGCCCCAGATATTTCTTATACTCTGTGTAGTGTATGCCTTTGAAAAGAACTGGAAGTGTGATGGAACTGAAGAACTCAAGGTTAAAGTTTTTTGGTAAGACTTCATTTTCCACCTTGCTACTGTATATGGATGTAACAGCTCTGTGTAACTAGCAATGGTAATACAGCTTATCAAAAACATCTTCCAGACTGTCCTGTGAAGAGCAGCAGTAATGCTGTTTACAATAAATGTGGTCCCAAAAAAACCCCAAAAGGCTCAAAAATGCCCATTCTCAGATGAAGGGTTGTGCAGTGCTGACTTTTCAGACATGTGGAACAAAGTCTTGTGCTGTGTGTGTGGAGAACAAACGTGCCGTTGTTGTGTCCTCCTGGTTGGTACAATGCAGCCAGAGCAGGCTTGCTCCCAGATCTTCCCTGCTTGAGCAGCAGTGTGGGTGCTCTCTGGACCATACCTCCTGCTTCAAGAGGTGGCGTGAGCATTTATTGGACAGACTGCAAGAGCTGTGGCAGGCACGTGAGGCTGGGCAGCTCAGCAGTGGGGTCTGCTACTACAGGTAGTAGGGTGGCCTTGCCAGAAGGAAATCCGAAGCTGACTCATATTAACAAGTCTCTGTTGCTGATTTTCTGTAACAAAAGGTGGTCTCATGTATATCAAAGGAAACATCTGTCCCTGTGGTCTGATCCTTGGATGTACACAATGCTGTTGGCTTATTTTTTGTTCATTCTTTCTAATTTATAGCAAGTTAAATTTCCCCCTGAACTAAGTGTAGTTGAAATCAGCTCAATTCTGGAACTGTTTCCTTGATGCTAATGGACCAAAAGCATATAAACCCAGGGGGTGGATTTTAAGGCTGCTCTACCCAGTGTTGAAAGTTCCTTTAAAGGGACAGTCACCAGAACAGAACATCAGTCTCTGCTGCTGGGAAGGAGTGGGACAGACTTCCCCTGCTCCCTTCTCCCCTCCAGTGCTAGTTCAAGCGTTAAGACCTTCCCCTAAACGGGGATGCCCCGTATGAACTTTGCAGGGTTGCATATATTTAGCAAGGCATTAAATGTGGCCACAAACTATTGTAGGACATCTCCCTTATCACAGCTTTGAGGGGGAAGGGGGAAGCTCCAGCTTCTCATGTTCCTGTTTTGAACCAGCCACTCCAAGGAAATTGGCCGCTGACTTTCACAAGCAGCAGCTGGTACAGACTGCTCTCAGGCAGTGCCAATAGTTCATCACGTTTAAGGCACAAACACTTTAAGAAATTATCATCTTTCAATATATCAAGTTTGTCTCTAAGGAGAAAGGTGTTTTCCTAGATTCTCTTGATGTGTACGTGATGTGCATCCAGGATTTCATACACAAGAGTTACTTTGCTGCTGGCGGGGAGGGCACTTGTACAGACTGTACCACATCTTTGGAAGTGAAAACAATTAGCAATGCAAGTGGAATATAGTTTATCCTATTTCTTGGTTAATACTTAAACTTTCTCTTTAAGCCCTTTCCCCAACAGCACTGTTCAGTCCCAAAGCTAAAGGGAGGAGCATTTCTGCTAGGTGCTACCACTCATTTCTGGTTTCATTCTGCTTGTAGTGGTTCTTATCAGAAGGGGCTTCCTAGAGTCAGGAGGAGAAATGCATTCACACCTAGACTGCCCCATCTGTAACAATATTCCTGTTTCAGATCAGTGCTGCTGCTGTGCTTCAGTCAGCACTTACATTTCTGGTAGCTGACACCTGGCCTACCACGGTGGTGCACAGGAACTGAAAGCACATCAGTCACTCCCTGTGTGACAGCTGCCTGGGGGAAGCAGGAGGAAGGCAAGAATTAACTGGAGCATATACTGTGCTCATCAGTTTTAGCATCTAGAAGAAAACCCTCACAGGTAGAGGACAGAGGTTCAGCCTGGAGAAGAGAAGGCTCTAGGGAGACCTTATGGTGGCCTTCCAGTACCTGACAATGGCAAGAGACATTAGGAAGATTAGACATGAGGGGGATGAAACAGGGGAGGTGTTCAAGGTCAGGCTTGATGGGGCTCTGAGCAACCTGCTCTAGTTGGGGGTGTCCCTGCTCACTGCAGGGTGGTGGGACTACATGACCTTTAAAGGTCCCTTCCAACCCAAAGCATTCTGTGACAGTACAGTTTGGTCTTACCAAGTCTGCCAGAAAGATACAGCTGCATCCAGACCTCTCCACAGATATGATGCAAAGCAAGTCTGCCATCCTCCAAGGATTGCAGCTTTCACCAGTGAAATTACAAGAACATAACTCTCCAGTGTAGGAATTCAATCACCCTCCCTTCTACAGCAGCTCTAAGCCTGGGTTCTACCCTGCAGAACATTCACTTCTTAGTTACTCACTGTATGTAAGTCCTTTAAATCTTCCAGCAGGATGAGGAAGTTATCACTCTATTCTATCAACAGTATAAAATCCAGTACACTGTCAGTAACAGCACTCTGCAAAGCCTCTTGCAAGTTCACATTAATCCAGAGTACAGCATTAATCACTAAGTAATCACTAGTAAGAAAGGGGGGAGAAAAAACAGAAAAGGTTAGTACTTGTATTGTGTTTTTAATCAGTACAACAGAATCCCCACAGAGGAAAATACAAACTAGTAAAACTTCCACACAACATTTTTAAAACTCAAATGTATTTTTCTCAGTGGGCAGTTACTTTTGTAACCCCTCCCTCCAAGTCCATACTTCTCTCAGTTGGCTCACGAGAAGGTATCCTGTGGCCAATACCAAACTGCATGGAATTTGGGCTTGGGAACCAGAAACCACATTGCATGCCAGCAGGTACCTCAGCCCTTGCTTCAGGTTTCCAGTGCTTAAAACTGTCAAGTTTTTAGGAAAAGAACTGGGTGACTGTACTCTTTTTGCATTAGCAGTAAGAATTTAACCTCACTGAAAGATAAGGTACCACTAAGACTTTATAAATCAATTTTTTTTTTTTTTTGGTGGGAAGTCACTAGGACCTGACAGTTCAGAAGGAATCAAGAATTTCAACTAAGAGAACCATTAGCACTTGGTCTTCACCAGAACTTTGCATCCATGCCACTTAAGACACTACAGAAAACAGATCTTGTCTCAAAAAAAGAAAGTAACTTTTCCCTTTAGATGCCCAGGGTTTACAGTAGGTTTGGAATCCTTGCTTGGTGACTGCATATCCAACTCCCAGCTGTTGCTTTTTCTGCACATGGCAGCCTTCAGAAGACGATTAGCAGCTGGCACACGGGGCAGAACCACCTTTGCTACAGAAACACCTGCAGCAGTTTACACCTCAAAAACTTCACAGGGTTTAGAAGCAGTAATTTTGCTGCTACAGTCCCCAAAACTGAACAATCCAAGGATTCTATTTAGATCAGCATCCTTGAGATAAGCAAGTGGTACCATCCCAAATACTCCAAGTGCAGGAGTGTTGTGCAGCTAACTCATCCACAGAGACACAGCCAGAAGTGCCAGAGCCTCTGCCCGGAGCTGTAAGTGCTGAACCACGTACTTTATTGCTCAAAACAGCAGTGATATGCACCAGTTCTTTCCTCACTGACTTCCATCTTCCTGCTCACCAGTTTCTCCTCATATTACTCAGAGTGGAAACAGAAGTCTTGGATCTTCTCTGCACCCTCTATACCCAAATTTAAGAACAAATCAGAACATCCTGTCCAAATATAATTAACTTTTAACTCTCATAAAATAGATCTTTGCAATACAGGTACAAGAATGCTAAAAGAAGTCAACATTAATTTAACTCTAATACCAAAATAAGCGTAATTATAATTTACAAATGTTAAAATTCACTTGTAGTCTATCCTGACTGGGTCATACTCTGGGATTTTATTCTGAAAGCGTTCAAAGGCTTGAATGAAAAACTCAGCATCCTTATTTTTTTTTTTAAGCCTCTCTTCCAGCACAAAGTCACCTGTTCACCACTTTGTTCTGAAAATACTTTTGCAGGACTACTCGTCAGGTCGCACACACGAACAAGTCAGCAAGATCTGGCTGTGCAGTATTTTAGATGGATACCAGTAAAGTGCTCCAAAGAATGCCACCCAGGGCAAGTTCAGACCCTTCTCCTGAATCACTCTTGAGCAGATGAGGCGAGGCTCTCTACGTGCTATCCAATCAGGAGGTTGTCATCATCATACTGTAACTGCAGTCGGGAAAAGGGCCGTGAGGGAGCGACTTTATTCTTGGAGATGATTATGATGCAGGTGAAAGTAGTCAGCACCATAAAAGCCCCAATAACTATCCCGATCACTTCTGGAAGGTTTTTGCACCACTGGTCAGCGAGCAAGCACCTGATGTTGGTGAAAGTGCCGTTGTGGGGCTGTGGGGTCAGCCCCAGGATGTGGCACATCATGGGGTACACATCGACGTTGTCCATGGTGCTCTGCCTGTGGCCCCGCTGGAACGCCGGCCCGCGGGCGGCCAGGAACGGATGCATGCTGGGGAGAGCGTTGTCATAGCCATGGTCACCTACTGGGGAAAGGCAAATTCCAGAGCTGACCTCACAGTTTCTGTTTGCATATCAAATATCCCCCCCTCCCAGCTCTGCCCCGCCCCCAAAAGGTGTGTATTTTAACCCAAAACTAACGCTGGATCAAACACTGAAGGACCCCAAAGTCCCCTCCCTCTTCCCCACTCCCCAGGAGCCTTTTCCCATACTGGTTTTCAGCCGTAGTTCCCCCCTCTCCATTATCCCTTTTCCTTTTGGTCATCAACGTTTCCAGTTCTGCCCTTCCCACGTCTCATGCAAAAGCTGAAAAGGCTGTTGCCACTCCACAATGAGTCAGTAGCTGGAATGCAAATTTGTGCTTCTCAGATTTTGGAAGGACATTTCCCCTTGCAAAGCGGACGCTTTAATTACATCTCCAAAGCCGAGTGCCTTCCCCACGGCAACGTTCAGCTGGGGCACAGGAAGTGCTGAAATCAAACCGTGCTTATCAGATCAGGCACTTCCAGTGAAGCCACACCCAAACAGTCAAACCCAAAATACAGTCAGTGGATCACGGTGCCTGTGACAGGCGTACAACAAAACATTGGTGGCTACAAGGTCACCATTACTTGTGACATTTGGTAGGTTTTAAAGAAGTACTTACTCTGATTTTTGGTGGAACATAAACAGCTAAAAAGCAGCCATAGTCAAATTTCCTAACAACACACTGAAAAATCTGTCCCAAGATGCCAAAAGTTTCTGACAGCAGAAGCAGCACAGTATCCCAGTGACTGCATTTACGTTTTGAGTTCAGGTTTTATCAGCAGTTTGGGTCTCCACGAGAACTGGCTCCTCGGCTGCTTCACTGACACTTCTGATGTGCAATGTCAAGATTCCTACCGAGGAGGCCATGCTCACCCCTCCAGTGCTATTCCAATATTCCTTCCTTTTCCACTGTTATCTTTGTCACCCCAGACACTGCTGCACCACCTCTTGCTTGGTGAGTTTAATGCAGTCCTGTGTTTCTTGGTTACATTTTGTTCCCCTTCTCCTGTTTGCAGGTGTTGAGGAGAGCTGCTCTGAGTTGAACGGAGCTGCTCAGAGCTGCCCCCTCCGATGAGGTTTCCCACCTTCCCCCTGAAGCAGGGGGGCAGGGGTGTGCCCAGCAGTGGAGGTGCTGCTGCCCCTGCCAATCGCTGCGCTGCCACCTTGTCCGTGAAGATAAGGGCAGTAAACACTCAGAGCTTTTTAGGCTAAAACCTCCCTGCCTGCTTCTGGAAAGCCTTGAGGAACAAAATTGTTTTGAGAACTGATTCACTTCCACTGATACAATGTTGTTACTTATAAATATACACCCATGAACTATTCTGAGGTACGTGAAATTCGATCTAACCATAAACAAGAAAGATCTCTGTGCTAAGCATGGTCACTTTGAAGAGGATTGTAGCAAATCTGTGAGGATATTAAAATATAAATGTATCTTACATGAAAAGCAGTCCTTTTGTACCAATGAGAAAATTTGAACTTAACTGTGTGAAGGGGAAATAGCAAAGCCAGCCAAACTGGTTGAGACTGGGAGTTTGCAGCACCCAGCATCCTGTCTCTGACAGCAGTCACAATGGGGAGCCTGGTCAGGCCTGACACCACAGCCAGCCTCCAGCTGCTGCCTGCTCAAGAGCTTTCTGGAAGTTGGTAACTTTATATTTAATTTCTTTTAATGGATTTTTCTTCCAAGAATTTGTCTAATCACTTTCTGAATACACACACACAAACAGCCTCTGTTTGCAGCCCAGAATTATGGGTTGAACTCTCATATCATGACAATAATGAAATCCATCTGGACTTTCTTCTCTGAGATATACTTTCATGTGACTGTTGCATTTTTACAGTAACTTACACACATCTCTTGTCTGCCCTCAAAAAAATACCCTGCATCTGAAACACCTGGAAATACACACACACTCACACACATATATATATATATGTAATTTGACATTCATACGATCTAGTATGTGTGAATTCACATCTGGTTTCTTTTTTGTCTTTAAAACATATTGCTTGATGCAATTAACAGGAAGAACTCTGGCTTTTTTGACCACTGTTGTTGTTTTCCTATTATTTTTACTATTTTCCCCCTTTTATTTTTTATTTTATAGTATATATACTGTAACATGAAATGTTGTGTCATGCATTCTTCAAATTTATGCTCCCCTATATACATATTTTATATAGAAGAATAATTAAACCACACTCCTGTGGAAGCTTAGGCAGACTAACTTGCCCAAATAACTCTTAAAAGTGTGCCTCTGGCTATTAAGCTGAACATGGCAAAGCATTTTAGGCAACAGAATATCTCCCATCTCTTCCTCATCTGTTAAAACACTCCAGGCTCAGGGTGAGAATGTTCCAGAAAATGCAGAGATGTTCCTAAGTGTGCACAGTGGCAGGACTCCACCTACTATTGGAGCATCCTACAGACGGCTGGGATAAAACCAACAGAAGCCACCAAGAGCACAAAGGAAGAACACACACACTTACATTTGGAGAGAGACTCGTTTTGCACAATTGTCCAGCCCTCATCTGCAACCAGAATTATGGGCTGAATTCTCTTATTGTGACGATAATGAAATCTGTCTGGAATTTCTTCTTTGAGATACACTTTCATGTGATTGCTGCAGTTTTTCAGTAAGTTATATACGTCTCCTTTATCTGCCAAGAAAAAAAAACCTGCATGTGAAACAGATGGAAATTCTGTCCTGTTTACTGCCATTATCTGTCATTAAACCTAAGATCCATTTTTTTCAAAACAATTCTTTTTTCAAAGGCCCATAGAAAAGGATTTTTTCATATCCCTAGTGAAATGCTACATGTATCAAGGTGGATTGCACAATTTGCTCTCATTTTGAATCAGGCAGCTCACAGCTGGGGTTTTCAGTCCAACTTGCCCTCTGGGCTTGCTGGGGAGGAGGGCAGAATTCATGCAGAGAAATCAAGAGAAAGCAATCACACCCCAAAGTAGTCAATATTTTATCCAAAGCAGTAAGTATTAAATTTTGTTACTGTATAAATCACTTTGTTCTTTAGAATTGCTTCTGTTTGGCCACAGTTGTAGAAACTGAGACCAGCAGTGCCATAATCTAATCATGCCTGTTAACAGCTACTCCAAGATACAAAAAACTGAATTCACAGTATGAAAACTGATGTTTCATTCACAGAAACAGAAGTTGCAAAGCGATCAAGGTTAGGTTTAGACTTCTACTTCCAAGTTTAGAGGATGCTAATTTTTATTCTGCATAAACATGAGGGTTTATTTCATGCTCACTGTGAATTACATCCCTACAGCCTAAGTGAGCAACAAAAGTAGGCATATGAAATGCCTGTCTGCTTTCTCAACAAGCTGTACCAGGGTATCTTTACTACCCATAGCCCATTGATTATCCAAAAAAACCAAAAAAGTAAATTCTAAATAAACAGTCTTTAGATTGTTCATTAAATAATGTCACAGTTCTGCGATACAAAGTACACTGGTTTTGCAAACAGCGTGAACAGTCCATGGCAGCATGTACTCCTAAGATAAACAAGATTTGTTTTCAAGTCATTCACTGAGAATTAAAGCAAAACACAAAAATAAGACATACTCTGCCTTGGCAGCACTGCAGCAACTGGACTCTTGTCTATCAGGGTATAGTTACCCCGACCAATGCAGTCATCCAGGACAATCAGCTTCTCTGCAGAACAGGAGGCCATCCCATGGTCACTTGTTATTATGATATTAATAGTGTCCCACAAACCTAACGCCTTCAACCTCCTAGTGAGGAAACCAATATGATTATCCACTTCTTCCAATACTTTGCCCATCTTCTCAGTGTCATCTGGTCCATACTTGTGCCCACTTGCATCTGGCTCTTCCCAGTATAACGTAGCAAAACTGACCACTGGATTAGAACTGTTCAGCCACCCAACAATTTTCTCCACTCTCTCCTCAAACGTTACAGAGAAGTTATACTTCATATAGAATTGAGGGGTCGTATTGTTAATTCTTACATCAGAACCCGGCCACATTGCAGCAGCACTTGCTCCACGTCCCTGCTGTTGGTTTGTTACCCAAATTGGAACTGCCTCGTTCCACCAGAAGGGATCAGAATCGTTGAACTGTGAAAACTTTTTCTTGGTGTCTGCATCGTACATGTCGTTAGCCACGAGGCCATGGCTTTCTTCATATAAACCTGTCACGATGGTATAGTGGTTGGGGAAAGTCTTGGTGATAAAAGCATTCGTAACTTGTCGTACAAGGACACCGTCCTCAATGAATTCCTGAAGATGAGGAAGTTTATAGGTTTCCAAGTAATCAGCCCTGAAGCCATCAAAGGACACGAGGAGCAGCCTGGGTACTGCGTCGCCAGTAGAGCGAGCACAACAGGCAACTATTCCAGAAAAAAACAATGTTAACATTGAGGTCATTGTTGATACTTGGAACTATTTCCAGCGGGTAATCAGATGCACCTGAAAATTTTAAAAAGGCATGTATCAAAATAATTGTGTTGGAACCAGTTTAACTAGCTATACGTGGTGTACGTCTTCCTTATAGAGGTGAGCTGCAAAAGAACCCGTCTCAACCACCACTGGAGTCAGCAGCGTATTTCCCTACTGACTTCAGAAATTCCTCATATATTTTCATAGTTTTTCATATGTTAAACAAATGAGCCATGAGCAATTTTTTCCTCCTGCACAAGCACAGGCAGCTCAACAATTCTGGCTCCACATTCAAGAGTCCTGTGCAGCCCTAACTCCTGCTTACACATCTTATGTTCAGACCAGAAGTGTTTTCTGCTGTAATCATAAATTTTCTTCTCCATCTCATCTTTCCTTTTCCACATTCTCAAGTTGCCGGAAGACTTCTGAGCCTCTCAACATCCCTATTTACTCATTGCTTACTCTTTACACAGAGCTAAGAGTAACTTCTGCTTCTGTTTTCCTTCTCAGCTGCTGCACATCTGCCATAACACTATTTAAACCTGTTCTTTATGTAGTGTATCTCTCTCTCAAAAGTAAATAAATAAAATTAATAACCTTACCTATGAGGCAAGCATTTCTCACCAAGGAAATGATGACTACTATGAATGCAAGGTATGATTTGTAAGCTTTTTTTTCCCCCCCTAAACTTATTATGTATGACACGCACACTTTTTTAGGAAGGTGCAGAATTATTCTACAAGACTTTATGAAAGAGGAAGTGAAGGTCCAGGATTCACAGAAACCTCTGCGATGTTGTTAGACAGAGTATTTACTCCTCAAAAAGAGCCACTCTTCAGCATATTTCTCCTTTATCTCACTTACATAAACTGAGGTGCTCTTAGGAGGAAGAGCAAGGATCTTCCTAACGCAGTGATGTCTTCTGGCCCGTCTCAACCCTTTTCCCAAAACTGGTTAGAGCTGTGACTGTACTATGTTAAAAGTTTTGGTAGCTTTAGCAGTGGGAGGAATTCAAAGCATGTGAAATCATCCTCCCTGCAACCAACAGCTAAAATTTCCTTAGAAGACACAAATGTTGGAAGAAACGATCGTCAAAACCAGCATTAAGGCACCTCCTATCGCGGAGGACTTGTAACACACAGCCCCTTTAAAGAGAGGAGGACATGAAGCAAACGGCTGAGGAACGGAGCGGAGAACCTCCCGTTTCACGCTCTGGGGTGCTGTGGAAAGCGGCCCCGGGGGTGTCCCTCGCCCAGCACTGCCTGTTGGCCACGGGACCACAGCCGAGGCTCCCAAACCCCCGGAGGATGCTCCGCACGGCTGCCGGGCCGCCCGCTCCCGCCCCTTCCCGCCGGGCTCCTGCAGCTCAGCGGACCCGTCCCGTTCCACGCT